TTTAAACTTTTAAAAACCACCGTCTTTAAAAAGGGGCGGGGGGGGCCAGTGATGCCTGCCCCACCCCCACACAGGCGCATTCTCTTCATCTGCTTCGTTCCAACTGTGTGTTGGGGGTGGGGGTTGCCCTTCTTTTCCAGCCATCCCAGAATTTCACAAAAAGCTGTCTTTGCTGTCATTCTGGACGAGGTGCTGCAGCCCGGTGGGGGTCTACCACAGCTCGGCTGACAGAGTGATGAAGCAGCTGGAAGCCAGCTTTGCCAGAACCGTCAACAGAGAATATCCAGGACTCGCAGACCCAGGTACAGGGCAGGGGCGGGGAGGAAAGGGTCCGCCGTTTGGTTTGAGAGCGAGCCCTGGCGGGCTGCCCCTCACCACTTCCCCAGCAGCTAGCCCTGGAGAAAAGGCTGACTCTCCGGAGAAGACGTCGTCTGTCCATCACCTACTCTAAGAAAAGAAAGAACACGAGCGTGTTCCAACTCAGAATCTCAGCGGTGACTTTTAAAAGCACTGTGCGTCCGTGTTGCTGTTTAGGTGGCTGTATATGTTTTTCATTAAAATGTTACCAACAGGAGCGTGTCCCGTGGTGGAACCACGTGGGAAACAGTTTGGCAATTTCTACTAAAGTTAAATATACCTACCCTATGATCCAGCCATTCCGCTCCTAAATATGTCAAGGGAGAGGGATGCTTAGACTCTCAAAAAAGGTTCATAGCACTTTCTTCACAAGAACTGAAAATCAGAAACAACTCAAATGCCCACCAACAAGAAAATAAATGTGTTGTGTATGTGTGTGTGTATAATGTGTATGTATATAATATTGTATATATGTATATATTGTGTATTTATAGCATCAGTCATACAATAGGCCATTACACAGCAATTTTTAAGAAGAATAAACTGTAAGCAACAATGTAGGCGAATCCCACAAATATTTTATTGAGTGAAAGGAACCAGATACAAACAGTATATACTGTATAATCCCATTTATATGATGTTCAAGAACAGGTAAAGCTGAGTCCTAGTGATAGAAGTCAGATTATCAGTTACCTGTGGTGGGGGTGGGGGGATCTGAGGGGGGCACTGAGATGGGGGCATGAGTCAACCAGGTGGGGTGCCAGCAGTGTTCTGTTCTTGACCCAACGCAGTTACACAGGTATGTATACGCACGTCCAGTAATCATCCAGCTATTCACTGAGGACTAGCTCGTCTCACGTACTGTGCTCTGCCGTACCCCACGGTACAAAGACAGGTGAACGGATGAGTGCTCGTGGCACTTCAAAGCCTCTTTGTGTTTCTCCTTCCAAACAGTGTTTCGAACACTGGTGTCCCAAATCCTGGACCAGGCTGAGCCTCTGCTCCCCTCCAGCCTCTCTTCGGAGGTCATCACCGTTTTCCAATACTACGGTTACTTCACCAGCCACGGTGTGAGCGACCTAGAGAGCTACTTGAACCAGCTGGCCAAGCAAGGTGGGACGTGTTCTTTCGTTGCACCGTGTGGTGGCTCCATTTGGAGTGAACTCTGGTCTTTTCAGTCATAGTTTTTAGGGCTGGTAACCATTTCTTCCCCCAAGTCAACAGCTGGGATGAGATCAGCCTTTTCAATGATTTCTGGACCCCTAACAGTAGTGAGCCTCTTGGCAATGAACCAGGGGTGTACCGAGAGCATCCTGATCACCCAGCAAGGATACGACATTGACCAGAAGCTGATTTAATGATGTAATTTCTTCACGAATGTATTTGCCGTTTGTGGGATCGAGCCTACAGGCAGTGCTGTGTTACGTTGCCCTGTTTGGAGGCACTTTCATAACAGTCCGCAATGGGATTCACGACAAGGCAGATGGGGCGACATGTTGGTCAGGAAAGGAGATGGAAAACCACGTCTCGGGCTGTGTCTCTGGGGAGGGTGCAGAACGGGCACCAGCACAGCGGGGTGGCCTGAAGTTCATGATTGCCTTGCTTCTCGCGTGGTGTCACATGCTGAAAATAACATAAGCAGCTGCAAGGAGAGGAAACCTCTTTGGGGGCGGAGCCAGGCAGCGAGGGGCTGGGTTCTGGCTCCCCAGTCTGTGCTCTGTAAATCCACCCAGACTTCACCGCTGCCGGTGAAAGGGGGTGGGACTGCAGTGTGTTCTTTAGGAGTAGACGGGTTGGCTCAGCACCAGACTTAGCCCTTCCCTCCAGAACGCTGAACCCTGCACTGACAGGTCCGTCACAGAGCTCACATCCCAGTGAGAAGACGTACTTTCTCCCCCCGACCTGGTGCCTAAGCCAGCCCGAACACAGGAGAGTCTGTGTAGCCCTCATGATGAGTAAATGCTGGTCCAGAGTTCTAGAAGGAGAACCGAGGCGGGAGACCACAGGATCTCACTTGAGGATAGTCTTCCTATCTTCTCTAAGTTTGTCACTGTCTCTAAAGCAGTTTTCTGAGTAAATTTCTCTACTGTTCAAATGACATCAGTAGCAGCTGACATCCCTGAGCCTCCCCCCGACGGTCCTGGGGAAGGCGTACCTACTTACCAGTAGGAGTGGAGGAGGACCGTGGAGAAACCCTAACCCTGTACATGTCTTTTTTGTTTTCTTCTTCCTTTAAATAAGAAAAAGGCCCTCATTATTTAAAAAAAAAAAAAGACTAGAAAACAAAAAAGTACACCTAAAAATATTCAAATCACCTACTATCTTACTTTTAAAATTTAATGTATTTTTAGTTGGATATGCATGGATTTGACATTTCAAAGCTGTGATGACCTATTATAAAGCATTCAGTCCTAGCTTTTATTTGGTATTATATCCCATGTTATCCTTTGAAAATTTTTTTAGTTTTGTAGTATCCCTGCATTTGGGTGCATGCGAATATAGTTGATTACTGTTGAACAGTTAGGTTGTTTTCCATGATTTGTTTGTTCCATTGTTATACATAATACTGTCTCGAGACCTTATGCTGTGGCATTTATTTAAAAAGCAGTGAAATGGGGGCGCCTGGGTGGCGCAGTCGGTTAAGCGTCCGACTTCAGCCAGGTCACGATCTCGCGGTCCATGGGTTCGAGCCCCGCGTCGGGCTCTGGGCTGATGGCTCGGAGCCTGGAGCCTGTTTCCGATTCTGTGTCTCCCTCTCTCTCTGCCCCTACCCCGTTCATGCTCTGTCTCTCTCTGTCCCAAAAATAAATAAACGTTGAAAAAAAATAAATAAATAAAAAAGCAGTGAAATGACCACAACATCCCCAGCAGCAGAAATAGGAAATTAAAGCCAAAAAAAAAAAATCTCAAAAATTCACTAACGTGTCCATTGAATAGTGGATGCTGTCTACTGATGGATCGTGAATTTTAGGTTATCGTTTCCCATCTGTACTGACCAGATACACTCTTATCCTGATGTTTCGGTGACTAACAGATGCCTGCACCGGGTACTTTATGAGGGATCAGAATACATTCCTTGGTCATGGAACATCATCAGTTTGTCCAAATGGGACTCAGAATTTTATTTTTTATCATATCATCTCCATATTCCAGCCAACCAGCTGGATTTCTCCATCCCGGCCCAGGTGCCCGAGTGCAGACAGAGAGAACATCAAGCTGGGGTCACTCGGGGCCAGGGGATTGCCAGACGGGTATGGCTAAAAGATCAGCAACAGAGTCGGCTCTCATCGGGAAGATTTTACTTGTAGTAAACTACAAGTTTACTTGTAGGTCCTTCGCTGTATATTTTTACACTTGACTATTTAATTCGTCTAGAAGTTATTTTAGCGGCCATACAAGATGGAGATCTGCCTTTGCTACTCCCTATTAAGGTTTGCCATTTACCATAATAGAGTTACTAGAATCATGGCCTTTTCTCACTAACAAAACATCACCTTCGTCGTATGCTGACTTTGCGTACGTGGGTCTGTTATTACATGTATACTTGAGTCGTATATTTTTAGTGAGTGTGTTACCTTATGATCAGAAAGTGAACTCTGCTTTCTTTTCACTCGCTAGTTTCCTTGATTCAGACCCTGCAGTCGCTGAGAGATGAGAAACTGCTCCAGGCCATGAGTGACCTTGCACCGGGCAGCCTCTCAGCCCAGCAGGAAGTACTCGGGACTCTGGCTGTGCTGCTGACTGGCGATGACCAGGAAGCCCGTGAGGCTGTGATGCTGTACTTGACCGCAGCCTCCAGAAACGAGCACTTCAGGGAAAAGGTAAAGCCCCAAACCACGGACATCAAGCCAGAAGCTTCTTTAATTTTCTATCATTTACTATTAATATTTTGCCAAATGTTTCTTATAAAAAAATAATTTTCTTCTGCCTATTAATAGTACATACCCTGTAACACAATTTAAACTACAAAATATACTGTAAATATTTTAGT